GTCCCAGCTCTATTGTCATTGTCACCATTAGCACGGTGTCCAGTCTAAGTTAGTGCACATGCACAATGATTGCAAATGATGCACTTCTACATCCTAAATAGTCATTACATATGTGCAGAGAAGAAAAATGTTGGTTTAATTGTGATTTGTTCATTTTGAAACTTGTTTCATCCAAAATGAAAACAATTATTGATCTGAACACATAAAATCTGTCTGAAAATTACACTTCTATTTGTAGCATTGGCTTAAGCTGTAAGAATACATATTATCATATAAAGGCTGATGGGGCAATGAAAAGAGAAGTAGTTAGGAGACACACAACCATTTAACTATACAAGATTTCAGCTCGGAGCCTTAAGCATATATAAAAAATCATGTATAAAAAATACAAGATACAAGCAAATATTTAAAGGTGCATTATTGAAGTGAATGGGATCACAAGGTAAGATCCAATTATGTGACAAAGCAACTTTATATGAAAATAATTGTTTCAAAGATACAAAGTATTACGTATTTCAGCTAATATGATATAATCAAGTAAATCCAAAAGCAAGGAAAACGAAAATGCATTAGCATGAAAACAAAATACATATAAAGTAAAAAAAAAAAAAAGCAAAGTATAAATTACAGTACAAAATGATCCCGGTAATTTAACCCAAACTGAAGGATACAAATGGTATAATTGTCAGGGAGAAGAAAATAAAATCATATATATTGCATGGAGAGCGTATTCTTTGTTAAGAACTTTGGGATACTTGGTTTAAAAAGTATGGCTCTAAAAGCTTTTCTTTTCTTAAGCAATTTAGCTCTGTCTACTCCCTTCAATCTGAAACCTGAGGTACATTATACTGTTATTATAAGTAATGAGATGAGATTGATTGATTCATTTTTGCTTGGGTAAGACCACAAGGGCATTTCAAAATGTAAACCATGAATGTTGTATCACATGCAAAATACCCCTGTATCTTGTAACTGTGGCTCATATTAGGATGCCAAAAGCCATGCCATTTGCACAGGTTACAGTGGAGACATCAAAAAGTAAGTATTGATAAAGATAAATAATTTAGTTTGACAATGTGGAGACCGATATCTGCTCAAATATTTCATATGTATTTGCATGAAAACAGTAGAGGGACTTGGAATTTGAGGATGTTAGAAAATGACTTTTTTAGAATGCTCCACTGGCTATGGCTACCTGGGAATTAACCTTTCTTTAGTGCTGTATCGAGTAACTACATTAAATGTTTTTTTTGATATTCACATCAATTTTATGTTTGGGACATTATGGACTTTGAGAACATAGTCAATGGATATGGTCAATGGTAAGAACTGTGTCTTTTTCAATACTGAGTACATCCACAAGGTAAACCTTACCCTTAAATTACATGCCATCTCTTCAAGTATGTTAATGGTACTCTGATAAACTGCCATTAGGGGAGTGATGTGATTGGCAGTGCTAGTGGTGTGAAAGCTGCTTCATTGAAGCAAATTATTTGATGGTCGATTTAACATAAATGTAAGTGGAAATACTTTCATGGACATAAATAATATTCAAATACAGAAAATCAGCAGCCAATTTTCTAATTAGTGAATTGGATATGACCACACATCAAATTCGTACCTCAGGGTTACACCAAACGCCAAACACATCATTGATGTATCACCATCAAGTGTGGACACATTTACTGAAATATCTGGGAGTACATAACGTGATTCAAAATGATATATGAATTAGCCACCATTATTATTATATCCCACAGAATATGCAGTAGATATCACCAAACAAATATAAATTACTAGTCAAAGTCTTAGCAAATAAAAAGATTTAATTTAATATTGTTAATTGAACCACCAACTTATGTTGACCAGAATGCTGTCTTAATTCAAAAGGTGACAGTCCCAGGTAAACATTACAAGGACCCTTTGCAAATTTGTATCCAAGGTAATAAATTAAGCACATAAGTAGTAACCAAAATAAAACACTGTGAGAAAACAACAACATTTTGTAAAAATGTTTCATGAAAACCAGAAAGAGGCTGACAAGCAGAATCCCTTAGGACATACCTAGATGTTCTTTAACAGTTTTGTATATTTATGGGAGTACATAAAATGTTGGCATAACAGGGCCATTTCAAGTAAGTTAAGTTTTATAATCCTTGCCCATTTCGTGGAGTGTAAAGTTAATTTATCCGTCTGTCAAAAGTATATTATTCAAGGATACCATATTAATTATGTAGTGTAAAAAATTCTTGATCTTCTTGATCCAAGCTCTGACTACCATTCTGGGTTTAAGAAGTTTATGGTATTGTTTCTTGTGTATTTTGACCTTGACATTCCTACTGACTATTCCGATCTCTGTATCCCTTGACCTTTGGCTTGGCTCCTGACTATTTTGAATTCTATGTTCCTTGACCTTTGGCTTGCATACGTTTTCACGATATTTGTATTCTTGACCTGAGCCTGTCTTGTGTTTTTCTTTTTATACATTAAATCCGGCCGTTCTAAGGCCCGGTAATACGTTTTAGGATTTTCTTTGTTTTTACTTATGTTCTGCATGTTGGGCATATTAATGTATTCTGACATTACGACAGGGCCATGGACCATGCAGACTTAGGTAGACAGGTGATGTCTTGCGAGGCGAAGCTTGAGGAACATGATCACCGCATGGATCAGTTCACCCAGGCTTTTCAGACTTTGCTGGCTTGCACTGCACACCTCCAATCTGGGACACCTCCTTCCCAGGCTCTACAACATGCGGCTGTGGCAGTGCCCAGTGGTCAAAGGGCTCCGACCATAAGCTTATCCCCTCCACCTAGATTCAGAGGGGATTCCCAGGAGTGAGGGGGTTTTATAAATGAAATAGAATAACACTCTGAAGCATTCCCTTGTTCTTTCCCTTCTGATAGGGCAAAGATCGGGTATTTAATGAACCAACTATCTGGTAAAGCCCTTGCATGGGCCAATCCCTTATGGTAGAGTGGTAGGACTGTAACTTAAAACTACATGGAATTCATACTGAATTCAAGAGATCATTTAAATCTCTTGGGAAAGTTAAGAAGGCAGCCAAGGCGTTAATGCGGATAAAACAGGGCAATTGATCCGTTGCGGATTACACCATAGAATTTCGCATGCTTGCGGCCGAGGTAGATTGGACAAATAGTGGTTTGGTTATAGCTTTTTCAGAAGAGCTCTCTGAGACTTTACTAGATTAAACAGCCGCAAGAGACCTACCAGATTTATTGGAAGCCTTCCTCTGTTTCTCTGGCTCTTCATATGACTCCATCTGCTCCTGTAGTTGCTGTCAAGTCCGAACCCATGAAACTGGGAGTGATGAAGCTATCAGAAGCTGAGAAACAGTATCGTAGGGCTGAGGGTTTATGCATGAATTGCATTTACGACATATACGCCTAAACTGCACTATACGTCTGGAAAACCTCCGCACTAAGCAGAGTTAGAGGACCGGCCTTAGGTGTAATGAAATCATCCTCTATCATGCCTATCAACAGGTTCCTCCTCTCGGTTATTCTATCTTGGGGTGCTCATAACTTTCCTTGTAAGGCTCTTGTCCATTCAAGAGCCGCTGAGAACTTCATAGATAAAAAGTTTGTTAGTGACCTTTTTATCCCTCTGAAGGAGAGATCCACACCATTGGCTATTAAGGCCATTGAGACACCCATTATAACCAATTATGAGACCAATTACATTATCCTTATCCATAGGGATACTACATAGAGAGAAGATAGCTCTCCAAGTAATTTCTACCTCTTCATGTCCTATCATTCTTGGGTTTCCCTGGTTGGTGTGGCATAATCCAGTATTGGATTGGGTTAAGGGTGAAATTTGTACTTGGGGAACCAGCTGCAAAGATCAATGTCTTCTCTCCGTCATACCTATAGGTCATATTAACATGCCAACGGCTGATCCATTATCCACAGTAGTTCCCCCACAATATATCAAGGTTAAGGAAGTCTTTAATAAAGCCAATGCCGAGACATTACCCCCACACTGACCTTATGACTGTGCCATAGACCTCCTGCCAGGTACTATGCCACCATGAGAGTGAAATCATGGAAGAATATATCCAGGATGCTCTTGCTCAGGGTTTCATACATAGATCTTTCTCTCTTGGTGCAGGGTTTTTCTTTGTTTTTATGAAAGAGGGAGATCTACGACCTTGCATTGATTATAGAGGTCCTAAAAAGATTACTATAAGAAACGTCTATCCTATTCCCCTCATCATGGAATTATTTGATAGACTCACAGGGGCTAGTGTTTTTACCAAATTAGACTTTAGGATTGTGCACAATCTGGTCAGGATTAAGGAAAACCGCAACAAGTGGGCATTGCGAATATCTGCGGTTTTCCAAGACTTTATAAGCGATGTCTTAAGGGAGTATCTCCACTCGTGTGTTTTAGTCTACTTACATGACATGAGAAAAACACTGGATTACCCTTATTCTCTAAATATGTTACTAATACACAAGTAAATAGCTAAAAATCAAAATCCAGATATTTGATATCTATAGCACACTGCAAAATGTCAAGATTATAGAAATAAATAAAAGTCCAATGATGAATCTTTAAAAAATTCTTTATCCAGGTAATCCCACTTAGTAGTTTACTTCATCGTGTAGATCCCGGTGTATATATAAGAAAGAAAGAAAAAAAAATATCTTCAAATGTATCCTTCTTAATCAAAATTCCATAAATGAATGCAATGTAGGTAGACCACTTTGAACAATATCATGATTCAGATATGAGCCTTCTTAATTTTAGAGCAATATGCAAAATAAGAAAAAACTGGAGAGGTAGAGACCATAATAAACAATTAGGAATGGCAGAAATTCAATGGATATATAATCTGAATACGTTACAACTAGAGTTGAGGGGACACCTGGATGTTCGGGTCCGGCGAGTTCGGCCGAACTTTGAAAAGAAGTCAGGGTTCGGGCTCAAACTTGACCCTCAACTTTTTGAGCGGTTTAAATGAAGATAATACGAATGTCTCGATTAGATATCTGTAAAAGACAATCTAACATAGTGATCTACACTATGTTAGATTGTCTTTTACAGATATCTAATCGAGGCATTCGTATTATCTTCATTTAAACCGCTCAAAAAGGTGATTCACTATTTCTTTTCTCTAATAAGCGCTACATTCATATATTTTGCATTGTTTTTTATGTGTGACGTTGGAAGGGGTCATTAGAATATTTTAGCAGCTGTATTTCTATTTTGTTTTTACATAAGGTTTACTAATTATTACATTTATAAGCGCTGGTTTCTTTAAAATATTAGTGTATATTTTGACCCTCAACTTGACCCCGAACCCCATTGAAGCCAATGGGAACCCGTACTTTTGGCCACAAAAATGACTCTAAAACACTCCCGGAAAGGGATAGAGCGCTGCAAAAGGAAGTAAAATGGGGGTAAGCGTAGGACAAGTTCCCTGCAAACAAATGTGGATAGGGAAATCACTTAAAAATAATATAAAATAAGCAGCCGCTTAGTGGATAACTCCCTAATTCAAACGGTATTAGGGAGCTATCTAACAAAAGGCTGAAAGACCTAAATTGGTCACCTAAATTGGTCTTTCAGCCACATTTACTAATACTAAGTAAAGACTACTTAGTATTAGAAAATTCAGCTCCTACTCGCTATACCACCAGTAGAGGCGTGTCTAGTAAACAGTGAGCCACTGGCTGCTCACTGTAAAAAAACAAACAAAAACTATTGCTCCCACCCCTGTGCGATGGATGGGGGCCCTAAATAAGAATGTTGAGAGGGGACGTACTGTCCTGCCCCCCAGCCCCCACCCCTGCGTGGTGGGTGAGGACTATAAATAAAAAAGGGGGGGACCTACTGTTCTCCCCCCGCCCCCACCCCTGAGCAGTGGTTGGGGGCCATAAATAAAAATTGGGGGGACCCTTCGCGGTGGGTGGGGGCCCTAAATAACAATAAGGGGGGGACGTAATGACGTAATGTCCTCAACCCGGCCCCCACCCCTGTGCGGCGGGTGCAGGCCATAAATAACAATAAGGGGGAACCTAAGGTCCTCCCCCAGCCCCCACCCCTGCACAGCAGGTGGGGGCCATAAATAACAATAAGGAGGGGACCTAATGTCCTCCCCCCGACCCCCACCCCTGAACAGGGGCCATAAATAAAAATCCCCCCCCCAGGTGACTAGGGGTCCCCAAACCCCTAGTTACCCCCTCCCAAAAAAATTATTACCCCTACCTACCCCTTCCAAAGAACTTTCCCACGCTGTGTAAAATGACACAGAGCAGTCTGATTGGCTGGATTTCAAGCTAACCAATCAGAGTGCTCTGTCATTTTACACAGCGTGGGAAAATTCCAAAGAACTTTCCCACGCTGTGTAAAATGACATAGAGCACTCTGATTGATGGATTTCAAGCCAGCCAATCAGAGTGCTGTGACAGGCACATGCAGAGACTTACCTGTCAGTCTCTTCATTTACCTGTCAGAGCACTCTGATTGGATGGCTTAAACCCACCAGAGTGCTCTGAGCCTAATTGCAGGGTGGGGCAAGGCGTTATAAGCCTTTCCCCACCCTGCAGAGCTCAGTCTGCGCGGAGCCCTCCATGGGTGAAGAAGGATTTTTTTTTTTTGCGCTCAGTTTTTTTTTTTTAAAGTGAGTTGATTATTCTGCATTTTTATTTGGCCTTTTTTGGGGCTGAAAAAATAAGATTTTAGAAGAAAGAAGACATCAAATGGTAAGTTTATTTATTTTTTACAGGTATTTAGACAATGGTCCCCCCTCATTATTTTTAGGATGTGGTGGGCAGGTAGGGGTACTTTTTTGGGGGCCGGGGGAGGACAATAGCCCCCCCTTATTGTTATTTAGGGCCCCCACCCACCGCTCAGGGGTGGGGGCGAGGGGGGTACAAAAGGTCCCCCCCTTATTGGTATTTAGGGCCCCCACCCACCAATCAGGGGTGGGGGCTGGGAGCGGCCCAGGGTGGGCAATAGGCCCCCCCTTTAGTTTAAAAGCCCCCACTCGCACGTTGCGGGTGGGGGCTCAGGATGGGGGAATGTTTTTTGTTTTTTTTAACAGTGCCACAGGCTGCTCACTGTTTAATAGACATGCCCCTACTTGCGTTATAGCGAGTAGGTGCATAATTTACTAATACTAAGTGACCAGCTTCTATAGAGGCTGGGTCACTTGCTGCACTGGCCAATCACAGCCATGCTATTAGCAGGCATGGCTGTGATGGCTTCTAAGAGCACACAAGTCAAATGCTTGTTGATTGGCTGCCCTGCGGCCTTTCAAAACGCGTCATTAAATCGCTGAACTCCGAACATACAGTGATATGTCCGTGTTCGGGTTCGGGGTCCAAAAAAAAACTAATGTTCGGTACGAACCCGAACTTTTCAGTTTGAGTTCGCTCAACTCTAGTTACAACCCAATGGTTTGAATGCTGAATTCAATTGTGTCATTTTCTGGATTAAACCCTCACCTTTTCTAAGTCATTTTCATTTTTATGTCTTGCCCTTTAAGAATTTTATGTCAGTTTAAACATAGTTGAGATCGACTATATTTCTTATAGTTTTTTATATAGGTAGGGCTCATCTTTTTTAGATGTCTACCTACATTGCATTCATTTATGGAATATGGCATTTGAAATCCTGATGATCTTAGGCATATAGTTTTATATACAAGTAGGGTCCCTTTGAGGAGTATTGTAATTCTAAACAATAAAGAAAATAGCCTTATTTTTAATAATTTTATACATATTTTTATATTATTTCTTATAATAAACCAGACACAGACAAGGAATATAAGGCCATTTTCTGTGCAACACGAAAATATTACTGAAACACAAATGTATACACTTGGGTGCTGTTAGTGATTTAGAAGCAACTATCTTCTTATTTTTTCTTTTCCTCTCTTCTTTCTGTCTAAAATGTAAATCATTTGTAGTGAAATGACAGTTTAATTTGAAAATATTTTAGCGGGAGTAACCATGGAAACATATGTTAAACATAAATGTGTTTGAAAATATATAATAAGAATAGCAGGATCTAGTATCCATTTATGTGATCATAACTTAGTATCCATTTATGTGATCGTTGAAAAAGCCTCCGAAGCGGAGAAACACGTTTGGAGAGGACCTGACTCCCACTACTAACAGCCAGCATCTAGATCGTGCCTAGGACCGTGATTTCAGTCTAGTACAGCAATAACACGCTGCTGACTCGGGACGCCGAGAGACTCATCTAAGGTCTGCACTGCATGTATCTTATGTATTAGGAATCTATTATAGACGAAGACACAGATTGTCTATAATGCATGGAAACTTTGAATATTTTTTATCTTTCATGAGGAATATCTCAAATAAAGTGAATTCCTAATCATTGAATCTCTATTTTGATTAAGAAGGATACATTTTAAGATACATACGATGACGTAAACTACTAAGTGGCATTACATGGATAAAGGCATTTTTAAAAGATTCATCATTGGACTTTTATATATTTCTATAATCTTGACATTTTGCAGTGTGCAACAGATATCAAACATCTGAATTTTGATTTTTAGCTAGTTACTTGTGTATTAGTAACATATTTAGAGAATAAGGGTAATCCAGTGTGGTATTTTATATAATAGGTTGTTAGGTTTTCCTATTTCTTTACTCTTTTCTCATCCACATATATCTTGGGATTCGGTGCTCCACTATAACTATTTCTTATTTATATTACCTACTCGTTTATTCCCCAGATATTACTACTCACTATGTTCATGTCTCTCAGGTACTCACAACGCTGTTACACAATGGCTTATATTGTAAATTGGAGAAATGTTTATTTCATCAAACGGAGGTACAATTCTTAGGCTACGTTATCTCAGCCAAGGGTTTTGAAATGGATCCCAAAAAACTAGAGGCGGTCTTACAATTACCCAGACCTAAGGGTCTTAAAGACATTCAAACTTTCATTGGATTCGCTAATTACTACCGCAGGTTTCCTCAGTCATTTCTCCCATAACTAATCTCACACATAAAGGTGCTGAGACTTATGCTTGGCCTCCTGAAGCCCTGCCTGCTTTTGATCATGTAACCTGATTTGTCCCCCACCACAGTCCCTGTTCACCCCTCTCAGCCCCCAGGGGAATAAGGAGACACACAAAGGGGCTGAGATACACAAGGGTGTAAGGCATAGTAAAGGGGGGTAAAATACAATAAAGAGGGCAAAAAATTGAAAAAGGGGGGTTACAAGAGACAAAGGTGAAGACGCATTTTTAAATTGGGGGGGTTGGGGGTGTCAAAATGTGTCTTCGTCTGTGTAGCCAAATATTCTTGTACCAGCCCTGTATCCAGGTATATGTTGTTTTTAGGAAAAAATGTAAATAAACCAATTATAGTTACCAGTCTTCTATAGCATTTATTCTTGTGTACTGGAGATGTAATAATACAATAGATGTAAAATGTAAGAAGTTGTTTAGAGCTGTTTAAAGATAGAGACTAAGTGTAAGCTTGGAACAGCTAAGTAAGAAAAGTTCTGAAAATTCCAGAATCAGTCTGGCAAACAAAAGACTTTACATATATATATATATATATATATTCTTATTTTCTGGGTGCTAATCTGCTAAATAGTACCTTTTGGGGCCTGCTCTTTATATCCGAGAGTCAAATAGAAGAGTCAAATAGTGCTCTTCTAGCGCAGTTGTAAAAATTCTAATTGTTTTGCTGCTAATCTGCTAAATAGTACATTTTGGGGCCTGCTCTTCATATCTGAGAGTCAAATAGTGCGCTTACAGTGCAGTTGTAAACATTCTTATTTTCTAGGTGCTAATCTGCTAAATAGTACATTTTGGGCGTGATCTTCATATCTGAGAGTCAAATAGAAGCGTCAAATAGTGCGCTTATAGCGCAGTTGTAAACATTCTTATTTTCTGGGTGCTAATCTGCTAAATAGTTCATTTTGGGGGCTGCTCTTCATATCTGAGAGTCAAATTGAAGCGTCAAATAGTGCGATTACAACGCAGTTGTAAAAATTCTAATTGTTTTACTGCTATTTTGCTAAATAATACATTTTGGGGCCTGCTCTTCCTATTTGAGAGTCAAATAGAA